AGGAAGAGCGTCTCAAACGCAACAACCTTCGGAGGCAAGACTATCCAATCGTTTTTCAGTCACAGATTGACGCCAATTCCTTAATGACTACTCATTCAATTGTCTCGTCCTCCCTCGGATCCAAATCTTGTGGCCCACCCGAGCCGCCTAAGAAGCAACTTCTTGACCACGATAACCTAAATCGTATCTACAATTTGTCGGGAAATACCAATTTTATGGTTCTCAATACTTCTTGTGCTGGTTGTGGTGCAAAACTGCACTGTGGGACCCCTGGAACGCACGGTTTCCTTCCAGAACGTGAGATAATTAAACTGAAGAGCAGTAGACAGCCCCGTCTCAGTCGTAAACATGCCGCTCCATTGCCGGTTGTGTGCTTGCGTTGTCAGCTGGTGGCTCAATACGAGACGGCACTCAAAGAGTCCCTGCCTTCGGAGGAGTACGAGAAACAGGTAATTACTGAGCTGAACAATCAAGCGGATTCAACTATCCTTTTGGTCGCTGATATGACAAACCTCCCACATTCCATTGTCCCTTTATGTCTTGCCAACCCTTCTGGCCATAGAATCGTCTTAATCGGCAACAAGGTGGACCAATTGCCGATTGATGGTCCCAAGTTCCACTCCCGTTGGTGTGAAGTCCTCCTAAACGCATTTACGGGAGTATCCGGTCTACAAAAAGATAACGTCTCTCATATCGCCTTGATTAGTGCGCTTACCGGATATGGGGTGCAGAAACTCCTAGATTTTCTGCTCTCTAAAAAGTTCAACGTTTTTGGTATGTGTCAATTTCTTTACTAATTCAGTGAAAGAAAGTCCTGTGTATATTGTTGGCTCCACAAATGCCGGAAAGTCAAGCCTCTTCAATCGCTTGCTGCTCTCAGATTTTTGCAAATCGGATGCACGGGAGTCGATACATCGTGCTACCATCTCTCTTTGGCCAGGTATTTTGTGTTCAAAGTGATTTGAGTTTTTTCTCCTAATGATGATTTACCAAATAATCAATGAGTTCACATAAAACCAATGAAAAAATAAGGCGCTTTGTGATGCTGAAATGGTTGTAAGTGATGCAGGTCATTAATGGCGTAAACTTAAAACATCATGTAGTGCTGAAGTGGCATGATTCAATGCCTGCAAGGTGCGCTTTAGGTCGCCGATTCCGAAAAATGCACTATTTGCTTTACAGGCACTACGGCTGGTTTGCTAAAGTTTCCCATTGCTCGCATGTCCTACGTCAAACGGGCACTTCGGGGTCAAGCAAAGTACACAGAAGAACACAACATCAAACAGTCAACTGAGCCAAAAAACAGAGAACTTTATGGATACATGATTGTGAGAGGTAAGCGTGCTCTTCACTTCCTGCCTCTCTTTCTCGAATATTCATCCGCCGCCCCAATTTGGAGAATAATCCAGGTTCACCTCACCCTCTTCTTTGGGTTGAAAACCTACAACCCTCTTCGGTAGATTGATAGACGGTTTTGTTAGTCTTCCCACCAACTCTAGTTCTTATCGTTGTCACTACTACTAATATGCCAACTAATTCGATGCATGTTGTCGGATCTTCTTGATCGCCTATTTCTTGTCAAGGAATTGTTGATGTGGCTAGCAAATAAGTGGAAATAAAAAGTCGGTTTACTTGATTTCTTTTTTAGAGGATGAAGCCGTCGCTTCACTGACGCCTTCCAACATCAACGCGCAGGTGGAGCGAGTGAGGAACGTTCTGCAAGACCTTTCAGCCAAACCCACTTACCACTACCGACGTGACTCCTCGGGGGTCGACGTCTTTGAGGAGTGCGATATGGGTCTTCGAAGTCTCTTCCAGGAGGAGCTAGGCGTTGAAGCGACGCTCGAGACAAATCAGGACACTGGCAATCGTCTTCTCATCAGCGGAACCATTGATCCCAGGCACTTCAACCCACGAGCGTGGTGTTATGACACACCGGGACTAAAAAGTTATGAACAAGTGAATAATGAACGTTTTCGCTACTTCATGCCCACTCTAATCTATGTTTTCATTGGTATTAGCGAGATTTTCTTCAGTAACGTGGCAGAAATTGTTTCAGTTTCTGGCTTATTCCTGCTGTCCTACTTTTGTAATATTCTTTGCCGTCTTTCAGATTTAGTTTGTTTCCCCACTGTTGTTTGCTGGTTTGTACCTCAAAAGCTACCCTTATCCGCTTTTTTAAAAAAGTTACTTAAACTTTTACACTAATACCTATTCCGGTTTTGCTCAGAGCCTCAATTTCCTGTCCAGTGATCAACTGATGGAGTACGTATCACTGATTAGCGGCCGAAAAAGTGACTTTCACCGACCCGAACGCCGATTTTTGCTTCCGAGGACGTTTGTTCTCCGACCTGGTCTCAGTATGCTTCTCGGACGGCTTGGCAGATTGGATGTTCTTGCGGTAAGCACCTGATGTTAAAAGTTCAGCAGAAATAGATACTGCCTGCAGAAACTTTTGCAACGTGCCTAAATAGTTCGGACTACTGATCCTTATGCGACCGGGCTCCTTTAGTCTTCTGAACTATTTTGATAGGCTGGTGTAAAAGGCATCATCTGTGTGTCCCAAATAGGGTTATTATGTGCTTTTGCATCCTCTGTGTCTGGTATTTTTTTCTAGTCGAAAGGTTCAGTCTACTTAACGACTCAGACACGCCTCCCGGTGCACATCGTAAAAACCAGTGATGTGGATACCTATTGGGATGAATACGCCAACTTTCTCGGCCCTGGTGGCAGCTCCGGCGGGGTTGACACCTCTGAAGGTCATGCCATACCCCCCATGACTCCTGTTGTTCTCAAAACCATTCAGCCAGTTGATCTAGAGCAGTCCGTGGCCGATGTTGTCCTCTCTGGTGCAGGTAAGAGTTGAAGTGTCACCAACCTTTGACCCTGCAACCCAGTGTCTTCATTGCTCGTTTAGTTGCAGTTACACTTTTACTTATTGTTTGTAAGTAGCGTTTTAAAAATGAATTCAGGTTGGGTGTCGGTTTCCGGTGTGAAAGGAGAGACTGCGCAAAAAACCGATGATGAGGAGGGAGAGGAGACTGAGGAAGATTATGGGATCAGCCTAAGAGCCTGGACACCCGGAGGCGTGGGTATAAATGTGCGACAGCCGCCACTGCTGCCGTATGCAATTCGGAGACGAGGGGAACGCCTCCTCTACCTGCGTGAGTACTCTGGCCTTTCCTCGAACGCTTCGTTCGCACAGTTTTCGCCCTCCTGAAATACTGTGTGCTGCTACATTACTAACTGCTACCTGTTTTATCCTCTCTAGTGCATGACCTCTGGTGCATTCTAATCGATTCAGGGTTTCCAATTTGGGTACTTTGTAGAATCATTCCTCGCTCCCCTAGAATTGTATTAATACTTAAAGCAAACATCTTTTACCGCCTTGCATTCAGTTCATATTCTTGAAGACGTAGGCGTCCATGAATGGCTTTGTGTTAATGGCCTAGAGGGACATTTGTCTAAAGGCACATGTAGTGTTATCAACACAACACGCTTTAGATGTGGTAATTTATTTGACTAAGAATGCACATAATAAATCCCTTCCTTTTTTGACATTTACAAAACTGTAATAAAGGTACTTGTCTATGCTATACAATCACTAAGATTTAAAATAATTGTGCATTCAGCAGTCGTAATGCTAGAGTTATTACTGACGCTACTAAGATCTCTAAGCCTGCAAATAGCTTTTAAATGATTACACGGAAGGATGGGAGGCGATTCGCCAATTAGGTTGCCGGGTGATTCTGAAATTACTGTATACCTTTTGGGGAACTGCATATTACATCAAAGCACACCATTTCAGTTCGTTAGCTTCTCTTAAGCCACCATGGTTCAAAAAGTTTTACAAAGTTCTTAAAAGTTCTTTTTACTGAGTTCGGCAAAAATGTCTCTTATCAAAGGCATGTCGTCGTAAATCCCCACTATCTTACATTAAAAGCTCCGACGAATTCGGTCAGTGGACTGCTTGCATCTGGAAGCAAAATGTTGTGACCCAGTGCTCTCACTCCAGTCAATGGCCCAGTCTATTTGTTATCTACCCTTCCTTTAAATAAAAAAAATGCAAGTCATTTGTACCGTCACTTTCAGTGGTGAGGCTTCGCGTGGCTTCATCGGAGCCCTGGAGGCATCTTACCTAGTGAAAGACCATAAACGGCAAGCACCAAGTCGAAGTCACACCCCTTGCTAATTTTATTCAAACCTAGTGACCAAAGCGTCACATGATTCTCTCGGGTCCAGCCTCAACAGAGTTCGTGCCTCTCCGTAGTGCAATTATTTCAGAAACTATTTTTTGAGCAGTAAAATAATCCGGTGGGGTTTAGCGCCCCTAGAATCTAAGCAAAGCTGGTTTATCGGTTGAGTGAGAGAACAGAATCGACAAGGCATATATGGAAATGGTACTGTCGATTGGAATTGTGGTTTGTGCCACCTTGAGGCCGGATGAGAGTGATATTGTCGACTGCACCGGTACTCAGGAACAAGTACAAAATGTACAAAAATACCTATTTCAATAGTTCCTCAAACAGCACTAGAGTCGATGGATAGGTCGCCCGAACCACTGAGCCCAGAAGTCTGTGGGAGGTCATGAGGCAGCGTGTGAGAGGGAGTAATGGGTAGGGGAAGGGTGAAGGAGCTGCCACTGAGCTGGTAGTTGGGGTTCTGGTGATGATGCATGGGGGAGACGAAGAGAGTCATTGGGACGCGCCGGGAGGCCGCAGCGGCTGTGAGAGCGGAGGCGGTGGTAGTGGTGGGGCTGTAGGGAGACAGGGGATGGAGCGAGCGTCGGATGAAAATGGCGAGGAGGAGGACGGCCAGAAGGAGGAGGAGGATGAGGAAGAATGCGCAGAGGATTATGAAAACGACGCTACTTCGCCAAGTGGTGCGATTGAAGGAGCGCGTCAAGTCCGCCTGAAGCGCTCCATACTCCTCAAAAGGGTCTGCAGTCTGGTGCTGTTGTTGCCATCGTTGCAGAAATAGCTGCTCTTTCAGGGACGGAAAATCTGCCTCCAGATTTCCATTCGATCTCACCTGAAAACGCACTCGCAAGTTGGCGTAGGAAGCTAGCGAAGGCGTTCCCAGATCTGCTACCTGGTTTAGGTGGTTAGTAAAAGACGGTTAGATTTGCCATTGTTGTTTCGTTCCTCTTAGTGTATCCCATCAACAAGGTATCGGATCGAAGTGCCTGAACTCCTTAAATATCAGGCTTGGGGGTTGGTTTCATGCTTACTTCACTCAGTTTCTACTTTCATTTGACATTTTTTTTACCACCATTCATTTTTATCCGCTTAAACTAAGGTTTTACATCGTTAGTAATTCAGCCAACACTATTGGATCCATTTGAAAGCGTACTTTATGTCTTGTAGGGTTACACCGGTGACCGTTACTTGGCGCACGAAGTCTGCATGTTTTAACAGAACAAATTTTTTACCTGGACAATTTTTTTAAAAAAAACCTTTAGTTCAAGCTAAATAGAGAGGGGCTTGGAGGTTTGCGTGCAGGGGAGCCTTTAAGGCAGGTGGGTAGGCAGGAGGAACCTTTTCTATGTGTACACATTAAAACGCATTAAAAAAGGCGAGGCGAAAACCGTATCTGCTGCGCACGGGATGAGTCGAGGCCGAGCTGAGTTGGCCAAAAGCCGCTTTGATACCGGAGCTCGCACGCACACATACAAAAATGAAAGCTTTATATAGACGGCTTATCGCGCCTAATCTAAGCAATGATGATGTTGAAAAATTAGCTCGCGCTATTGTGATCCTTCAAATAATATTTTTTGGGCGGTATGAGAGGAGGGAGTGGGACCTGACACAATGGGGTGTGGGAATCAATTTGCCAACGTGTGCAACAAACGATAGCATCGGAGAGAGGGAGCGGTGGTGTTTATGCTTTCGCTGGTGATTACAAGATAGCTGACTGTGGGCATTTGGAAAACAATCTGAAGACAGTGACATAGGCATTAGTCAATGACAAGGAGGAGCTTCCCTACTTTCCTGGTCCCTTAAATTAACCATAACAAGACAAATAGGGTGTATCGCAAAGCAGGTAGGTTGCAATTTTTCATGACATCACGAATTCTCATTGCCGAGTAGGCATTTGAGCAACTCAAGCCATAAACCCAGAGCAGGAAATCCCTTTAGGCTAACAGATGGCGAACTTCAGCCCTAGGAATTGTTGAATAAAAGTAGTAGCAACATTTCTGATGGAAAAATCTGCTTATGAAACAGGGCACTTTTATTTTAGTCATTCAGAGGTGACTTATGTCTCCGTCTTAAAACGCAACAACTGTCTTGTTACCTTTATTCTCACCGCATGAGTCTGTTTCAGAATGGATAATGTGGGACCAAGAAACTCCAAATCTCCTAGCTGGAGATTGTACTTGGAAACCATGAGACCAGTGAAGGGATGGATGTCAAAGAGATTGGCCACAGAGCTCTCTGGCTCCTCTGCGAATGCGAAATGCAGCTCGCCGTTTTCATTGGCGTCGTTGTCAGTGGCGTGCAATTGCACAAGTGGTTCTCCCCGATGTATTGGCCTAGGGTGAAAGCTGATTGCCGTCAGGTACAGGAAGACAAAAATCTTCGCTAAAACTGGTAAGGATCCCCTTTGAAGCAAATGTTTGGCATGGAGCTTTGCGAACGGCTAATTAACATTTCAGAGTAATCTTGGCGACACGAATTGTTGTTGTGGTCTTCTTAAACTCTCTTGTGTGTCTTTTTTCGTAGCAAGTGCATTCTCTTTAGTCACGATATACTTGAGTGGGGTTGTTTTTTTCTCTCCCGCTGTCATGGACAACTATTAGCACCGCGTTAGACATCACTAAATATCTCCACTTACCTACCCTAGCTACGCCCTTCTAGAGTTGTCCCATCAACTATCAAGTTGGGGAAAGCACAGTAAAATTGCTTTGCCGTTTCCATGCATGAGTTTGGGAAAAACCCCTCCCACTTTTACGTTTGCTTCTCTTCTTTTGTGAGCTTTTTAAAAGAATTTTCCCCAACGAAAAGTATTTGATTTCTAGGAGTGATGCAACTAGGACATGTCGCGTTTTATAGAGTATTTCCACCGCATTTACAGTAGGGGCGTTAACATTATAATATTAATGCTCAAAATAGACGTCCATGGATTCTACTACGTTTACTTTCAGACTTCCGAAGTCTTCTAATTACTGTGCCATTGCTATTACCAGGATCCATTCAGCCATTCACAAGTCCTGCAAATTTGGAAGGAATTAAGCTTAATTTGTTGTCTAAAAAGGATTTTTATTACGCAGATTAGCAGTCTAAGTAAAGAAAATGCCAACAAAATTTCAACCGCATTGCACAGCGCTTTATCGCCCACGGAACTTATCTACCTGCACTCCAGAAAAAGCAGGAACGCAGAGCCCAGGCCTTTGATCAAGGATACTTTTCCTAGATAATAATAATTAATTCACTACAAAAATGAATAGCCTACTTCAAACACAAAGGGCTTACTTGATTTCAACAATGATGAAATGAATGCTTGTTTGAATGTTTAACTCATTTTACCGAAATTCCAAACCCGCCCTGTTCGTTAAAGCTCGTGTTTGTTGGGTCAAAAATTCCATAAAACTGAATTGCATTCATTACTTACAGTCGTACAAGAACGGTATTATTGGTGAGAGCCGGAAACGTAAATTTGGGGTGGCAGTCATTAACATCTTTGACCACTACAGTCGCGCAGAAAGTTGTTCTTTGGGGTGGATGCCCACGATCGGTGACCATGCCTTGGATCAAGTATACGGGAACTGTCTCTCTGTCTAGGTTGGGATACCGAAGGTAAAGGTCGCCCCGCTCCGTCATGAAAAACCTAAAAAGGGAAGGTAGGCTTAAAAAGAAACCTCAGGCATACTGCACCGGCGATGAAATCGGTAATATCGCTAGTAGAAGCGGAATTTGTAGACGGTTGGTGTTCTATTAATTTTTTTAGTTTACATTCTTTTCGGAGAAACTGCGATAACCAAGAGCGTTGTATTTTACTCCAAAATAGGAATATAGGTCAAATCAAAAGCGGTACATCGTGCACCGTACTCATGATAATCCCGTCTGGCATGTGGCGCACAACCGGAGGAAGGCTCCATTTGCGTCCCGGATCACGTTGCTCTGGAGCGAGGAAATTTACGATCCTCTTCTTGGTGGTGTAGATCCCACCAAATGCGGAAAATGCCAAACCCTGCGGAGGTGGTGGCGGACTTGTCAGGTTGCAGAGTAAAAACATTTTCACATATTGAATTTCTCAACATTCGTGCCTACTGATAGGGCCAAAAGCTATTTCGTGTAAACTACTACCTTGTAGACTCTCGCTTGCCTCAATAAATTCGGTCTGCTCAAACATGATAACGGAAGGTGATGCTGCGTAGTTACACCCTTTCGGCATTCCAAGTTCAATCAGCCCTTCAGTCGTTACTCTACTGTGGGGGAACACGATTCCTCCGGGCAGGCAGGGCAGAAACTACTTCTATTCCTTTAACACGCGATCACTAATAGCCTAATCGTAGTCACATTAATCTTGCATAAGATGACAATGAACAAGCAGCAGAGGTTGAAAAACCCACCAAAGGAAACTCGTTCTTCGTATTGTCATCCCATGTTGAATAATCTATTGGCCTTTCTTCCTCCACAGCCCAGATGAAACCTCTTTGACGGTTAGTCAGAGTCACCTTTGTAATTAGGAAATATTTATTGCAACATCCTCGATGAAATAGAGCCCTTCAGGAATTAAAATGCATGCCCAAGTGTTTAAAGCTCAGGTAGGCCTGCAGTGATAGCACTTGCCCGCACGCTTTATTACCAGCATAAAGGCTTGCAATGAGGATTTATGTGCCCCACTAAAGGTGAACACAGAACCAAGCACAAGAGATGATCAATCTAATACATACGACAAACTCGTTATAATTCTCAGGGGCATTTTTTCCCGTAAGCTTCGGATCGGAGGCTTCCTACATATGACATGACAATTTCGGGACTTTTGGAGTGTCATCGACTGAGTTTAATGGATGCTTCCTATTGCCTTCTGCTTTGAGTCTGTTGATGAAAGGTGCGGTGCCAGCCAGTGGCATGTGGGTGCAAATACGCAAGATTTATAAAATTTACGTGCGATCATATTCACTTCCATCTTGGCATTTCAATGCCCATAACCGAATTGCTACTGATGTAAGCAAATCACCTTTCAGTGATTCCCAGTAGATCAACAAACACGAGGAGTTGCAAAGGCTGTGGATGTTGCGCAAGCTACAAATTCGACCACCTTCTCTTTGTAGTAGCAATTAAAGCCAGCATTATACCACCGCTTCGGGCAAGATTGAATAAAGCGGGTCGACAATAGAGGCTGGGTTTGTGCTTATTATTATAGCCTCGATAGGAGGTGTAGGCATTCCCCTAACATCCCTTTAATTTGCTTGCTAAATCAGAGATTCGCTTTTAATGAGAAATGCTATCAATAGTTGCTTATTCCTGAGATAACCTTTGAAAGCGGCATGAGTTTAAGCACTGTAAGAGCTAAAAGCCTCCTTATTTGTTACCGTGCCTTCAAGACTTCGTGTTTTCGTGCTCTAGCGTGATCCATTGCCTCTTCACTTAAGAAAATGCCGTACAAGAGCAGCCACTTAACCAAATGTCGCAAGGGTTCTGAGTCAACACCTTCTATACTCCTTGGAGGTCCAAGAGGGAGTATATTTGAGAGGCGCTCGACTGCACAATCGGTGGGCTTTCTCCACCGAATTTACGTCACACTTGTTGACCATCTCCAGGGCCCACGAGCACAGGGAATCGTTGAGATCAGGTACCTTCTCTCCTGTCGGTGGTGCACCACAGAAGCAAGGCTTGATCGAGGCAATTTTAAAGTAGAAATTGCCATTTAGTCCTGAGTCAAGATCTATAGCTGATAGGGCGCCGATGGGGTCCGCTAAAAGAAATAGATTTCGACTGATTAAAAAAACATAAGATCGGCAGTTGCTTCGCCCAAGCTATTATCTTAATTACTCGGGAGTGTCTTTTTAAAAAAATGTCATATCATATTCGGTTCCAGTATCACATTTGTGTAATGTGCTGATTTTATCGTCTGGGCCGCGTGTCACACATGTGTGACATGTGTTCCTTATCAGTTTATCATAAAGGATCACGCCAAATCGTGTGTCACATAGAGTTAAAATTTATATGTAAAAAAAGATATTTAGAAACCTTACTTCATTAGCCTATCAATGTAGCTAGGTCGTAACCCCTCCTGCTAACCCCAGATGTGCTTGTTAGGGCAATACTCTACCCCTAAATTGCTGTCCATTGTGCCTTGCAAATGGTCGATTTGGAGTGCAAAGGGTCTTCATTCCTTTGAGCCACGAATTATAAATCCCATACTCTTTAATTCGACTTATTATGAATAATTTCTCATGTTCATTTTGATTGGCAACCACTGCCTCTGTGAATGACAGCATTGAGACGTGAAATCCCAGTTGCGATTCCACTTTTTCCTCAAGCCTAAGGCACAATTTATTGCAATTTGCAACGTCATAGACGTACGATTCATTCTTCCTAAAACGGCATCCCACAGTTTTTCAACGATAATATCTGCACCGATTAAGTGAACTTGTTGCATACCCTTACTGAATATTCACTCTCAACTCATCATTAGCACCTCCTGGAAGAATTAGCGTTCTAGTGGAGCTACTTGCCGGCTGAATGATTTTCCCAAGCAGACAATAGGAGATCAGACGTCACCACCGGCGCGTTGTCATTGATATCCTCGATGAAGAGCGTGACAGTGACGGAGCCTGTCAACGCCGGTTGACCTCCGTCTACGGCAAGTAATGTGAAATTGTGGTGTGTTTGCTTCTCGTAGTCCAGAGGCTGGCGCAGACTCACTTCTCCAGTTTGATTGTTGAGCGTGAATAGGTCCTCCGCGGAGATGAGGTAGTAGGAGATGGTGGCGTTCTCACCTAGGAACCAGCAGAGCTGACTGTGCTGCACTTCATTTGGAATCAAATATTATGAGGAGTTCTTTGGCAGCGGGATGGAGTAATTCGCGTCTAGCACATTTACCATTCCTCTCCGCAGAGTGATAGCTCACCCAATAACATTCTGCAGTCCAATTGTCTCAAAATACTCCTTTTAAATTCTGCAAATTCGCCAGTTCACACACCTTAGGTCCAGGCTCTTAGCGAACAGCCAACTTCAGTTTTGGGCTTGAAGTGATTACGCAAGAGGTAGCCAAATCCGTTGATACCACCTCGCCACGGGTTATCTCGGTGTGCGCGTGAACAAGTAGGCATTTGTTTGAATAAAAATACGTCCGTGAACAGACTACCTTTTTTACGGTTACAAGGCTTTGCTTGTACCCGTTCACCCAGCCCAAGTGTGTATCCCTTGATATGCTTTGTAATACATCATGTCGCACAGCTTGTTGCAACGAAGCTAACACACGTGAGATTTTTACACAATGTCTAATATCCACTGGAGGGTCAGGTTAACATAGGCTTAAAATAAAATGACCTAAATGAAGTTGTGTTAAGGAGTACCTCGCTCAGGACTTGATTGGTTGAAATTATTCAACCAGCATCTGTGCTGTGGAGAGGTTTTAATGGGCAGTTGGTTGGACAACCGAGGCTTCCAACAGAAAAGCGCCATCACGCTGGTGTTAGAGCTGCACTCTGGTTTTTACAGGTCTTGCAAAGATTCTTTACAATTATCTCGCATCTCCCGCATATCTGCCCTCTCATCGATAACAAATAGTTTTGGTGATCTAAACAACAAGAAAAGGAAGTGGTAAAAGTTTTTCATTTGGTGAGGAAGGTTCCAGTGACATTTTCGCTCCGCATAATTAGTAATCCTAGCACGTTTTTTCATCCCTACATTGCCAACAAAGGTCCTTTTTACCCAATGTACCATGCCATTTAAGTTAGTCAACTGCAATACTTTGATTATTTGTTTGACTATTCATTTTGGCCTTGCGGGCTCCGCAAATTGTACTTCCCCTGGGCGGCGTGGTCTTGGGGCGATGCCACTAATCCTCTACCACGCATTTGGCTCTGGCATCATATCTTCCTTTGTATTCAGGAATGACTCGGTGCGTTACCTTGGTGGCAGCGGATAGCGAAACCGATCACAAAGGACAACTATCCTTGTTTCTGTCCCTGAATGCTAGGCCTTAAAGTGACGGAAAAAGGGCATGCGCTGTGGATAAGATAATCGGTGACGCCTACCAACAGAAGGGTTGATAATGACATCTATCTTCGGCAATTATATGGTCCCCTTTTCTACAGGAAAGTTATTAACAACTGGAGCAATACTAGCCACAGCTGAGAACAACCCAGTAAAGTTTGTTACGGAGCCATCTACGGTACTTGCATGAAGATGTCAATAAAGAAAATACGCGATCCTTCACCTCTTTACTTGCAGGTTAGGGCAGTACTCAAGTGAAAACAAAGTAGCAAGGAGGAACAGACGCGAAACCTTATTTCCACGAAACTACTTTAAACGTCATCCTTCATTCTGCTTTTAGGCCAGTGCTCTTGCGACTAACGATGGACACAGTGGTGGCTAGCACATTTCTCTTCCTCCAATACAATTCCCAAACGGGACGAACCTCCAAACCCATTGGAAATGCCAAAAAAAGTGTCAGTGACGTGACAGTCAAATGCCTTCTTAGTTGCGCGACAATCCGATAACCGACGCGAATGGTTCATGGGTGTTTTCCTTTGAAGCAACGACCACGTTGTGATGGCCGAAGAGGGAGGTAGTGCAAGAGGAGCTCCGTGACAACGCTCAAAAGGAGGGGGGGGCTGTGTAATGCTATACTTGTTTGTCTTTTCTGTTTGGTTTCTCTGGCACTTAAGGCTCCGCCTTGGTACTTCTACTGGGTGGCGTGGCCTCCGTGCCATGCCACTAACTCCCATCCCTTCTCTACATCGGCAGAGCATATTCTACCCAAGGTGTAATGCCTTCTATCGTCTTCAGGGACGTCTCAAGGCCCTACACAACAACTTGTTGTTAGTTGTAATTGGAAAAAGCAGTGCCGTATTTAGAATTTAGAATTTGCATATTTCAGGATTGGATAACCACTAGGCCCGGGATGTGGTCAATTGGTGCTCTGCTCCACTTCTCTTTTAAGTCTTTATCAAGCGACACCAGATTTGAATGTCTCAGATCTTATACTTCGCAACTATCCTTTTCAGGTTAGCACCTCAACCAAGCCAGGTGTTATGCTGTACTTGAAATAAAGAAAAAGACCGTCCCAAACGATACTCTGGGCTAAAAAGACATCCGAGACATGTTTGTAACTAATGTCGACATTTCTTTATTCCCAATGGGTTTGACTAAGTGGATGCTACCGAGCCAGAACTTCATTTCCGATCTTCAACAACAGCGTCCAAATTTAGATGTCCAGAGCGTCTCTATTCTAAAAGGTCCCAATCACCTTTACTGACTGCGTACAATCACCGCCTCCTCAAGCAATTGTCTCGAGCTAATTAGATGCCTTTAAATAATTCTCACAACCTAAAATCTCACTTTTTCATATTATGGCAACTTCAAGAAGAAATCCTATCAGATATTCAACTCCTTACCTTCGTCAGGATCCTCCGCCGTTAATGTGAAGAGCGGGACGCCGATCTGGTGATTTTCTGCCGCCCGAATCGTGAAGTGACTGGTGGGAAATTCGGGCGAGTGGTCATTCACATCCTGGATGCGCACAAGCACGCTGCCGGTGGTGCTTTGTCTCGGTGAGCCCTTGTCCGAGCACATGATGAAGACACGATATTTCCTACCCGCCTCGCGGTCAAACACCGCCGCCGTGGACAACTGGTAACTGTAATTAGAGGGAGCGCAGCAGTCATTTAGTCGAGGTATTTTGAGAGCCGAAATCAATCGCTAGAAGAGTTTATTTTGTCCCGATTTAGCATGCTTGTAAGTAATGGTATAGGAAAGCTGTCGTTTATGTGACTGCTCATTTAAACTCGGACGAGGTCTGGTAGTCATCACTGGTATCATATTCACCTTAAAAGCGATGGCGCACCCTGTGTATTCATACCTTTGGGATGAGCACCAAAAAATCCGGTCGCCAACTTTAGATTCAGTTGAAGGTTTTTGTGTTCAAAAACCACCGTTTTACCATCCTAAATTAGGGTTCATTCTAGAATAGAGCATGGATGGATAAAACGTAACTGTGGGATCCAAAGTGGTAACGAGTGATTGATTTACATTGTCGACTCTGTGTTGTATCCGTTCCGTACAGATGAAAAGGGGAATAAGCTAGGCTCTACTGAAGACAGAGGGTTGGTCAGGTCCTCATTCTTTAGACAGTAAATGGCTTCAACGTGCAAGGAAGAGAGTCCGGTTTTGTGTGGAGTCGTCTCTCTGATATTCCGTTTGCAGTGAGCACAAGAGGTGGGTATTGAAGCAATAGGCTACGCACCAGTGAACTTGGGCTATTGCAACACCATTACATACATTCGCAGGTATAGCAAAACACAATAGCTGTCGTCCTGCCTCCCTGCTCTCTCGATTTGGCACAGTGTAGGGTGCTTCTAGACCCCTCCTCTACGGCAGGGAGGAATCTGATCAAGCGTGATAGCGCTAGTTCCTGTACATCATCGTGGCACAGGCACACACTCCCATCTTATTGTTTGCAGGCCAACAAGGGTGATCGGAGGCTTGGCTTCCAAAAGTCACTCACTTGTTACAAATACAAACTGGGCGTCAACAATTTTAAACACTCAGTTTCATTGTTCCATTTATGATTTGAGAAAAAGTTCGCATTTTTGTGTCCACCATTTGCCAGCGACAGAACATTTTTCTTAAGCAACACCTTAACTCCATCGTTTGTTTGAAAGTGGAGAAAAGAAACAAAACGCAGATGCAGGCTTATGAATATAATATGGTAAACGATTTTGAAAGGAGTACGATTGTTATGGAGCACCCCAGTCAGTCTGGCTTGGACATAAAAAAAGAACGCTTTACTTCACAGGCATATACTGCCATTATCAATTGGAAAGCTTAAAACAAATATTGCTGGAAAGTTTCAGACTATGAGTATGGAAAACCCACAGCAGTTGGCTAAGTTAAGTAGCTTGTATGCCGCGTTTTGATGAAGGAAAAGCTCTCTGTGTAAAATCTTTAGAAGGATCAAAATTCGGGTTACTTCGAAACGCAACAATTTTTTGAGTGCCTCGACCAACCTTTGATGCAACAGGAGAGGGAGTTTTATTTCCTCTGTGCTTGCGTTTGATACAAGTGACTGATTTGAGTCCATGCCATGCGATCAGGAAGGGGACGGGGGGGAGGTACGGAGGGAGCGAGAGATAAGCCCCTGATGATGTACGAAAATCCATCAACCCAGCAAATAAAACCGCACTTCTTTTCTGACCTCGTGAGAGAGGGTTCGGCGCCGCATCAAGGCACTGAAAGTGCGCATTCACTGATACAAATCGGTGGGTATAAGTCGACACTACGCACTGCGATGGATTGTGGCGTCGCCGGAACATAACTGCTTACCTGTCTGCTGCGGCAAAACCATTATGCTTGTATTTGCCTGCCATCGGGAGAGTGCCAAAATAACCCATTTTGATAAAGACCACTTCATTTCCCGAACTCTGATAAGAAGCAAATTTATGGCGAATCAAGTTATACTAACCCTTCGAAAACGAATCCAGAAGTCCGCTTTTACTGTGGTTACTCGTTATTCTTGATCTGCAAAGTGACCTTTTTAGCTTTTCAGCCATTTCGACGATACGCATTTCTGGTCGTGCTCACAGATTCCTCATTCAGTTCTATGCTTGTTTGGCTTGTAGCAACTTCAAGAAAGAGTCCAAATCTTAATAATCAGCTAAAAGTAACTGCAAATTGTTTTTTGTTGCCTTTTAAAAAAGAATTCATCAGTTTTGTTGTTTAACCATCAGTACCAATGTGTGTGCAGCGGACAAAATGCTACCAAAGAAATCGAGGGCTTCAAGGTGGGGATCACACACACACCATCTTAGAGGAGTGGTCCACCTTAGTTCCTTAATGTTTAGTCGTTGATCAGGATCCTGTTTAATAGTCTCAAGAATGGTCATCCCTGCCGGCCTAGTTCCATCGAATTAAAATCAAATGGCTACTTTAAATAGGAGGAAAAACAGTTTTAAGACCGCCTAATGAATGTTTTTAATACCAGGATCTTAGGTGAAAATCGGACATTAAAACCCTCAGTTTTGTTGCTCTAGTGATACCGCTTTTCATTAATTTTGTCCAAAGCGTTTGCGACTTATTAAAAGCTAAGAAATGCGTAAATACGCGTTATTTTGCACTAATTTCATAATATTCAACTTGTTCAGTCCGATGGCAAACATTTGTAACATTAGGTTAAGAAAAGTCGGGCGTCGCCTATGTGTGACGCCACTGGCAAATGTGTCAAATTTTATAAAGTTAGGAAATATGGGAGATTTTCCAAGTGGGGCACTCACACTTTCTCAAATGGCAATGCCATAGGTTCGAGCTTGAAGAAGTTATGCACTTCCATTTTCCCATTCCCCTCCTCGTCTTCCTCCTCATTCTCGTCCTCCGCTCCCTTCATTACAAAGTCTGCTTCATTTTTGCTCACGAACTTGATCCAACACTCCGTCTCTCCATTTGCCTCACTGTCCTCATCACTGGCAGTGAATACGGCAACAATTCGACCAGCGATTTCGTTCTCCGGCACCAGAGCGAAATTCGTCAGACTGCCCGGTTCGAAGATCAGCTTCGGCGCGTTGTCATTGACGTCTGTGAGTGTAATCTCCACCAAGCAGGTCGACTGTCGTGGGGGCTCCCCCCTATCCGAAGCCGTGATTGTCAAACTGATCTGGAGCAGAAGGGGTCATTCATATGTGATCTCAAGTCCTATGGTTAGGGGAGATGTCTTGTCTAACTCCAAATGATTTGAGGTATTATTTTTCTCCTTAAACAAAATCCTTTTATTATATACCCCAAATTTCCGATGACTCCATGGGCATAAATGAATATATCTGAAGGATAGCAAGAATAAATTTTCAAATCCATTGAAGCAGGCATGCTTCGCAAAAGGAATGATTAATGTTGTTTATACATGAACCTTGGAAAAACATGGGGAGGAGGAGAAAAATTCGCAAACATTTTACCCCTAACGGTCCTTCCTTCATTCTCCATTTGCAAGACATTAGTTCTGATGTTGTAGATCAACTACAAGGGGGTCTGGGACATCTTATAGGTGTGGTAGAGACCACAGTAACGGAGATAATCTCCCTGTGTTATAAGGTCAGGCTTGGTACCTTGAACTGCTCGTTAAAAGATGCCATTCGGGTATCAGAGTCTACCTTAAATAGTTATTTTATTGATTCAATAAGAGGATGAGAGGAGAATGGAGTTGAATACGACTCCATCCATGAGATTCCGAAAATTGTGCCTAAGCGATGGCTTGACGAGGCTTGAATGAATTGGATTTTATGACCGGCCAAGTGTCCAGTGCGTTAATGGCGTAGGCGTGTCTCCACCAGATGAATTACATCCTCATACATTCACGTGTGTCATTTAAAGAGCACTCATGTGACTGCATATTTTAGTGGTTAAGATGTTTTGACATTTTTGTGAAAATATTCACCCCTCTTTTGCCTCTCCCACGCTCTCTCCCTCTCTTCTTCGCCCCAGCCCATCGAAACGTAACCCGGGTTCATACTGATAAATTAACATTCCACGAATCTATGGAAGGTCATTTTTTGATCTACGAAGGTAAAAATGACACCACCCATCACAGAGTTTCTGCTTTGATATAGTCAATAGTTCCTTTCGTTTAAATCACTCAGTTTGCGCTTCAGTAATCGTGCCGTGGTGAATAAGTAGGTTAAGGATATAATTTCGCATCAACGGAAAGGCAATCTAGCTGAACGAAAAATTTTCACGATCTTAGGTAACTTGGTAATTATTTTAAGGTATAAAGCGGGAATTGCATTGCAAAGTTCATCAGGAAATGAGAAACACCAGGGATTCCTCTGGACAGCAGGAATTGACCTCACCAATTAACGTTCATGTCATTCTTAGAGATACACTTCTACGAGGGTCTGCAAGTATTCCCTGCTGATGCGCAAATAAATAACCCACAGCATCTGGTGAAGAGGAAACAAATGGGCTCCACTGCAGAAAGAGATGGCAGTATGGATCGTGTTAATGCGTACCATTGTACTTTTACTATGCTGCTTCTCCAAGAAGCATTTTCCCCTTAGAAGAAGGCATTAGTGCCGAACCAAGCCGTAGGGTCGACACATTTGTGAATAGAAAGCGAACAATAAGGAGAAATTTACTTCCGATTAGGAAGCAAGTGGAGTCTACTTCGAGGTTTTCACTCCGCCCCAAAATGAATACTTCAATGAAATGAATCCAGATTTTAAACCCACCGAACCATCTTTATCAAACTGATTTCCTTGGAGATTCTGGTAAATTTAGATATTTCGGACTGCCCAAAAAAGGTGAACCTGAGTAGAGAGGCATTCAGGTCGAGAATTCACATGTCAGGTGAAAAAAAGAGAGAGGGAGATGCAGAGGTATAGCTAGCGCCCTTTTTCAAACAGACCAAAAATTCCAACATGTAAATGTCACCTCTGTCTGGGTTTAGCTTTTATAGACATTTACCAAATACGCCATATTAGCTCACGCCTTTTTTTTTGTGGCAGGAGTAAAGGCCTTCGGAGGTAATCGGAAAAGTTGGTTATGAGGTCTACGATGCCAAGTTAATCTTTGGGTACAAAACCACAGAACATTCCCTTGGGGCGAGACCACCCAACCAACCATATGAGATCTGAATGCCGAATTTTACCTCGAACTGTAGATGTCTCTCCTAAAGTGGATAATTAAATGTAAAATTGATGAACTACTTTTTAGGTGAGATAGTACAAGCAGATCCGGGTAGTGGTCACTGCGGATAAGTGGAATCGTAAATCTCATGCGGGTATCGTGGTAGGCGAGAGGTGGTGGACCACGCCGATCGAGGTCCCCGACTGAAGAGCCGCGGAGTGGTAGAGTGGCGAAGGTGGTCGGTGGTGCGTACATGCCCACCAATCTCAACAAGTGCTACTTAAAACTCCACCGCCCACTGCCAATGCTAGCAACTATAAAACAAGGCAACTTTCACCCATTGAGCATGTTTTCTTTGTTGAGTGGCAAGTGCCTATGTTTATTGGTTCAGGTGAATACCCCAGTCACTGCAAAAGATGTGGATTTGTGCCTAAAAAATAGTCAAACAAAACCGCAACCGCTACTGCCCTTTGGCGGCTTAAAATATGCATTTC